GGAGGCTAGAGGGACACTCTAGAGCAGGGGCCTCCCCACCATGGACCACAGAAGGATACCAGGCTGCACAGCAGGAGGTGAGCAGCAGGTAAGTGAGTGAAGCTTCCTCTGTATTTACAGCGGCTCCCCATTGCTCATGTTACTGTCTGAGCTCCATCTCTGATCAGCAGCATCTTCAATTCTCAATTAAAATATGTCAAAAATCCCAATGGTCACATGGCCCCATAATTCCAGTCAGGATTTGAATTCACTTGTATTCTAGTTGAAGGAAAACAAACTCAGGACTCCACTGATTTCTCACTATGGTAATTTGTATCATCATTTTATTATATATTGCAGTGTAATAATAGAAATAAAGTGCACAATAAATGCAATATGCTTGAAATCATCCTGAACCCCCCACTTCACCATCCCATGGAAGAATTGTTTTCCACAAATTGGTCCCTGGTGCCAAAGAGGTTAAGAACTACTAGTCTAGACATCTACAGTAACCACAGCACTAAGTTTGTGGACTGAGTGGTAGAAACAGGCAAAAACAGACATCCTGTACTTCATTTAAAGCATTTGAGCCTGAATTTAAGGTTGGAACATTTTGTGAATGCAACAGAGAATCGTAGACTGTGCAATGACAAAATTGAAGCCATATTTTAGAAAAATAACATAAATGGTAGTACATAAAATTTATTTTAAGTTTGAGATGGATTCAGTCATAATAATACTTATAAAGGTATCAAGAAGCCAGAGAAAAATATCTAGAATGATTTTCGCAATAAATAGGAAGTTGGAATGGATGGACTTCGCTACATTTAAAAAATAAATAAATAATCACTCCAAACCCTACACAGCCCCATTCATATATATATACTGGAAATAACTTAAGTGCATTAGGAACATAATGGTAGTAAAACTTCAGTTAACCAACTGTAGATATTTAGCAAAGTCAAATATATATTTTACATGTCACAGCTGAAATTTTCCTGTTCTAATTTCACATGTTACATAATTTAGCCATCCAGTACTTTGTCTTCCTGCCTTTAAGTAAATAACTTCTTTAAGCAACATCTTTAAAATATTTAAATATATTTTATTCATTATTTTAATATAGAAATAAATGTGGATTATTCTCGTTAACATA